ACCAGTGCTGATCCAGACAGAAGGCATGCCAGCGATGTTCCAAGAAAACCTCCTAGTACACAACTGATGCACGATTCGTTATTTATCTGTTCTGAGATCGGCTGCTCTGACAAAGTCTTCGCTTCTGCGGGAGGGCGTCCATTCGGTCGTTGGGCGGCTCGTCTTTGTGTCCGGCGATGACAAGCTTTCGATAAAAAGGTTTGTGTTGGAGGAGTAACTGTGGTCACTCCTTGAACATCTTGTGTAGGACTAAGGAAGCTGTGGAAGTCTGCTGTTTCCGGTAGATTTGAGTCTTCAAGTTCCTCCTCATCAGAGATGTCACTTACGTCCAGAGATGGCCAGGCAGTCCGGTTTACATTTTGGGAGCCGATGCTACCATCATCTTTACTATTTCCATGGTGGGCAATCCTTTTTCGTTTGTACGAGGGAGACTTCTCTTGTTCAGACTTTTTCCGCTTGCTTTCAATCAGTGCCTTCGTAAGAGAAGGCTTGCACTTGATAACTGTGTCCTGGGTCAATAGGCTGCCACATGGCGGCGAAAGTATCGTGCCTTCGCAACAAATAGGGCAGGGCTGGCATACGGTCGCCTTGCTGTCATTGCGGATTAAAATTTGGTTCCCAGAACAGCTGGCCGTGCNGCTGCCACATGGCGGCGAAAGTATCGTGCCTTCGCAACAAATAGGGCAGGGCTGGCATACGGTCGCCTTGCTGTCATTGCGGATTAAAATTTGGTTCCCAGAACAGCTGGCCGTGCCACCAACACTACTATTGTCCAATCTCAACCACCGCCACTACCACATTGCCTCATTCTATCACCATAACAAATGCAGAAAATCAGAGAAAATGATGCGTTAAGTTTTTAATAGCGACAATCAGAAAACGAAAACCACGTGATCACATCAATCTGGGAACTTAAACAGTATAACCGCATGGGTGGGGGAAAGGGTGGGGTGGGGGGAGGAACAAAGTCCCCACACTTTCAAGACCGATAAATAACCGAGAAAATAGTTT